TAACCCCATGGATTCCTCTTTAAATTTGGCTATGTGAAACCTAGTTTTGAGTAGAAATGAGTAGAAGCTATGGGTTTTTGATGTGTTTATGCTTAGAAGTGTTTTAACATGTGTTTGTGAGTTGTTGAGATTGTTTTGGACTTGTTTGGATGAGATTTTGTAGGAGAAATGTCATCTAGTGCACAACACAGTGTGCACCAGATCAAAGTGGCGGCCCTAGCCACGGTCCATCAGAAGAGCCGCCGGCTAGAGCCGTGGTGGCAGGGGACTAAGGCACGGCCCTAGAGGAGGGCATTTGCCTAGTCCCGGCGCTTCAACGGGGCTCCAGGGGCGGACCATGAAGAGTCCCGCCCTAGGTCCCTGAGTATTGTCTGTGAAGGATTTTTGTGCAGTGGTCGGGCCCTTGTGGCTCAGCTACGTGTCGTTTTGGACCGAGTGTTATGGGCCCTTGTGGCTCGTCTCTTCAGGATCGTCTCGATGCATGTTTTGGCTTTGATTTCGTTGAAATTGGATTAAAAACAAGAATGTTATGAAGGATTTTGTGAAGAATTGCAACACAGTGAATAATTTGCTAATTTATTGTGTATGAAGAATTATTTGATTATTGTGATCTGATGATATTTTATTGAGTAAAGAAGCATGATCCTTTGAGAATATGATTTATTATGAAAGTATGACTAAATTGTATTATTTGATCAATGAGAATATAAGCATATTTGTTGAGTGAAATGTATAGAAATTGCTATGTTGCAAACCGAGCATTATGATAAATTCATGAATACTTCATGTTAGTTTATACATGATTTAGAAGCATGTTATAGAGCATTTTGACATTTCACATGAGTCATATTTCAAAAATGCATAAGGGGCCAACGTGAGTCCAAGAATACTTTCAAAAATCATAAGCATGTGGTATATCATTCTTTGATGTATTGAGAAGTAATAAAATTGTTGCATGCATGAGATTGATGCATGAGAGGTATATTTATGTATTATCTATATCGGTGAGGTTTTGGAGGATACCGTTTGGACTATGTTCCTCTCGGGAGATTATTATGGACATTGCGGTCTGATGGACAATTTTTATATAATATATGTCCTCGCAAGTGCACGAATCAGTTGTAGTGATAGTGTGCAATAGCAAGGGTCGAACCCACAGGAAATTGATACAAATACAATTTAATTACTTAAAATTGATTAACTTGATAATTGAAAATACTAGAATAGAATGTCAAAGATAATGATCAATTTAAATGTAAAATACTTGAATCAAACATAGGAAGGTAAACAAATGTATTACTAAGAACTAGAATCTAAACTTTCAAGCAAAGTGGAAAGAACTAGGAAGCAATTTAAAATCAATAATTAAAATCAGGCTAAGTACTTGAAAATTGAAATATTAAAGCAGTGATTGTACGAATTGAAGAGAAGGAAAAACCAGGACAACAAGAATATTAAAGCTTGCTGCTGCTAAATATTAGCTAAACCTAATTGAAATTCTAAATGGAGTACAAATGGCAATTTGATCATGCTTATAAATGACAAATTGATTTAACATAAACACATAAACTAAATGCCAAAATTGATTAAACTAAGAAAAGAAAATAAGTGTTTAATAAGAAGTCCAAAAAAATTTACTACTGCATTCAAAAATTAGAAGTCAAAGTTCACGAACCGACACTAATACAATTCAGACATTTAGGAAGAGCCACTGAAAATTTAACAATATTAAAGAATAGGGAAAAGAACCAGAATGCTGCCAACGGAGAAGTCGTTCATCAGAAATTAGAAGGGAATTATGGTCTGATTTGCGCTGCGCTGCCCAGGTCTGCCGAACACCAGAATCAGCCGCCGATCAGAAGCCTCCGGAATTGGTCCGGAGCTAAATTGATGATCTTCAATGATGAATCGTGGCTTCCTTTTATATTGTTCCCGCCAAGTTAAGCCACTTCTCCGCTAAGTTCTACGGAGCCATGGAGAATTCTTCTCCTAGTTAATTGGATCGTAGCTATGACCGAGAAGAAGTCTGATTCCTTCATTATTGATATAATAATAATAATAATAATAATAATAATAATAATAATAATAATAATAATAATAATAAACTTATCTACACTTATAACTAATCTACTCTTATTAAACTCCTACTGATTATGTACTACTAAAACTAATTAATATTATTATTATTATTATTAAATTAGGATCAATGAATTATTAGATTGACAAAATTCAAATAATAAAATAAATTTAATAATTAAAACAAGTTAAAATTAAATAATATTACTAAAAACTAATTATAGGATAAATAAATAAAAATCGATATAAATTAATCAATTATTGCAAATTAACTATAAAAATATCATTAAAAATAACACTAAAAATAATGTTTATCACGGTCCCAGTATATGTAACGCGGCGTATTCCCACGTTACGAGGTTGGAAACTTCCCGTCGGGCTTGGAATCCTGGTTAGGGGGTGTGCACACTAATAGTTCGATACCTGATTCCATAGAGTTTGAACCACGAGATTGGTTCCGTAGACGGTAGGAGATATTGGGTCGGAATTATGCCGTTCCCGATGGGGTGAGTCACACTTCTGTGAAACCCTAAGCCGTCTACGAGTATAAGAGAAAGAAAGAGAGTCAACAGAGACTCAAGAAAGAGAGTCAACAAAGACTCAAGTATGAGAGTCAATAGAGACTCGAGATAAAGAAAGAGAGTCAAGAGAGACTCGAGAAAGTAACAAAGAGACTTCCACAGAAAGTACTCTATTTTATAAAAGAGTGTATGAGCATTTATATATGATATTATTGCACTAGATTGCATAAGAGTATGATTATAATGTTGCACAAGATTGCATATGAGTATGAGTATATTATTGCACTAGATTGCATAAGAGCATGATTATAATGTTGCACAAGATTGCATATGAGTATGAGTATATTATTGCACTAGATTGCATAAGAGTATGATTATAATGTTGCACAAGATTGCATATGAGTATGAGTATATTATTGCACTAGATTGCATAAGAGCATGATTATAATGTTGCACAAGATTGCATATGAGTATGAGTATATTATCGCACTAGATTGCATATTAGTATGTTTATATTATTGCACGAGATTGCATAAAAAGTGATCTATCGCATTACACGAGATTGTATGTGAGTAGAGTATCGTATGAGATTTCATAATGAGAAGTTTGACTTAAGATTTTCCATTGAGCACGTTTATCTTGTTGTACTAGAAGCTCTACTTATCAAGTTATGTGAGGAGAATGTGAAAGCATGAGAACACCTGTTATATGGTCTATTAGCATGAACTTATCTGTAAGCATGAATCGCTTGTTAAGTTATTTGAGAAGCTTACATGTTAATGAATCCACATGATCAGTCTTATACATTTATAAGCATGCCAGCTGATATTATAGGGTGCAAGCATCTAGAAAGAAGGTGATAAATCTAAAGATGATCTGAGATTAGCTTATTGCTATAAAGATATCAATTGTTTTCAAAGTATTTGCTAGAATGTTTTACAGGGTTGAGTGTGGTTATACTTAGCTTCGTGCTAACGGGTGTTTTTTTTTTCTATTTGTCTATGTGTTGCTTGCAAAACCCCTTTTAGGTGGGCCCAGCAGTGAGAAGAGATCGAGTTAGATTAGTCTCTTAGTTTGAGATGTCTAAACTCTAGTTTTAATTATGATCATGTTATGGATTTAGACTTATGACTTTATGTTTGAGGATTGATGTAGACTATATTGGGGTGACGTTTTTCCCCCTTACATTTCCAGTATTTATTTTTAGTTCCCAGACTTAATCTTATTTGTAGCTTTACCCCTTTTAGCATGTGCAATCACCAAAGAGTGGTGGTTGTGGCGGTGACACTCCCACTGCTTATCTTATAGTTTTCCGATGCTTAGTTTATGTTAATGACTGTTTAGAGATGTAATTAAGGATTAGAAAAGTGGGGTGTTACAAGCCAGTCTCCTCCGGAGAGTCCAACACAAGCCATTTGTTCACCGGCGGTGCCACGCCCTTTCTTCATCCAGCTCGCATCCACGACCACGGCTTGTCACCTCCATGCAAAGCCTTATCACTAGCTGTCGGGCAAAACTTATTAGCGTGACCAATGATGTCACACTCAAAGAAAAACGAAGGGAGGCGCTCATATTGAAGATCAAGCCAAAACCACTCTCCTCCGGGTTTCTTCATCTTCATTCGAGCCTTCAGTGGGTTCGTAACATTTATCTTTGTCCTCACACGCATAAAAGTACGCTCCCCGGCTTTAAAATTCCGCTTATCCGCTTGTTCAAACTCCCTCACATGATTCCCTACAACCTGAGCCACCTTTTCAGACATGAAACCAGATGGGAGATTGTGAACCTCTAACCAAAAAGAAGCTGTGTCTAATGATACCTTCGCTGGATCCTCTCCATTCACTACCCGCCGAAGCAGCACCAGATTTTGATCGAAGGTCCATGGACCATCGTTCAACACACGAGATACATCTCTCTCACAATAAAAGATGAATAAAAACCTGTTGTTTCCCAACTCGCGAACCATAACTCCCTTCATTGGCCGCCATGCTGTAGCCATGACGTCACAGAATATCACGAGCTTCATCGGCCGATCAGTTAGGACTCAACCAACAATCGCAAACCGAAGATCGAAACTAGGTTTCGAAACTTCGTCGACCTCAACGATCACTCCTTCGTCGTCATCAACGATCGTCAAAGCTTCACAGGTTTCAGATAGTGCACTCGTGCACCTTTCTCCATCGCAAAACAAAGGAAGCAAGAAAAACCAAACACACTTACAAGGAGAGAGGAAAAAGACTCTTTATCGGAAAGAGAGAAATTTCCAAAATTTTTTTTAAAAAAGGAAAGATACTATACGCGTAACGTCGTGACCTGCAAGCCAAGGATAGTTACCCACTTTCCTAAACATGCACGTGTGATTTCCTATTACCTAATAAAAGCAAACCTATTACTCTTTTGATTGGATTTGCTCCATAATACAATTTTTTTTGAAAGAGCTCCATAATACAATTAGTTATAGGTTTCTCTCTCTCTCTCTCTCTCTCTCTCGTCTCTCTTCCTTGCGGTTGTCGTCCGGCCGCGGATCCTTGCGTCGTTTCTTCATGATATGATATGGAGACCAATTCGCGGCAACCAGGTCAGTTATATTTCGATTCCGATTCTGATTTCTTTGGCTTCAAACATAACTTGATTCACGATTTGTTCATTACTATATTAACATATAATTCTTTTTGTTGTTCCGTTTTTGCTTGGAAATTGCCCTATGCTTCATTGTAATTTACTAATTGAGGAAGCTTGAGTATTTTCGTCGCTGTGAAAGATCATGTGATCATTTATCATGTGATCATTTTTAGTGAATAGTTGTTGCCAATTCTTCTATCTGTTGTTTTTTTGCACGAGTTAATCGATTAAATCTTTAATTTGTCTAAAAAATGTTACTGTGGAGGTTGCTAAGAACATTGGAGTCATAAGGACTTGGTTATTTATTTGAGGATAGATAGAGGAAATAAATGGCGCCATCTTTTGTCAATCAATGCTGGTTTTACCTTTCTTGAGAAGTGTTAGCTAATCAGTTGAAGGTCATTTTTCTTTATGTACAATGTGTAATTTCTTGATATCTGTCACAATCGGGCGATTGCCCTGTCACCCATTGTTTAATGTCATTTTCCTAGTTTTCTTCTGTGTTGCTTTGTAGTGTTAAGTTAATTTGCTATAATGCCTTTGCACGCTGCACTGTCTCTCCACTCAATTGGGGTTACTTGAAACTCGTTACTTTTTTTTTAATTTTTTTTTATTGCAGGTAGTAGTCCTCCACCAAAGCCTTGGGAACGAGTTGGTTCCTCATCTGGTCCTACGCCCTTTAAGCCACCCTCTGTAGGCAAAACAAGTGATGTTGTAGAGGCATCTGGAACATCAAAACCTGGTGAACTTGTACCGGCAGCTAACAGGAATACAGCTACTAATATAAACACAGTTGCAAGACCTGTGCCTACTCGGCCTTGGGAGCAGCGGCAGACATATGGTAACACTTTTGGAGGTATCAGCTTGTTCTATTTTCCCCTTCTCTTCTTCTGTATTTTTCCTGTGATGGGGAAACTTCTATCTGGAAAATGCTATTGTTTACAAGGCCTGTATCCATTGAATACATTGTTTAAATGCTACTCATTAAGTACTTAGTATTTGCAAAGATAAATTGAAATCTTATAATTTGGTTGTCTGGCTATTTGAACCTTTGTTCTTTTTCACCTCAATGATCTAGTGAAAATGTACTCTTTTTTTTGTTTTTTGTTTTTTTTTTGTTTTTTTGTTTTTAAATCATTTACTGTTTTAGGACCCACCTATAAATAAAACAGACTCCATTTAGTTTATCAGTCTGTTGCTTCTTAAAAATATAAAATCTGCTATTTTTATGAAAATGCAAGTTATTAAATAGGGAGTGGAGAGTATTTTTTATGTGTTTATTGCCCATATCCAGTCTTATACTTCTGCACATGATATTGGTCAACCCCATTGGAGGGTTTTTGGCTCAGTTTTTTAGATTGCTAATCTTAGGTGGAGAGAGGGAAGGATAGAGAAAATTCAGGATTGACCGCTAATGTGGGCTTTTAAACAGTTTTTGAGGAAGAAAAAAAAAACAGTTCTGCATGGATACAACTTGTTAGTGACCATCCTAGTTTTTGTTTTTTATTTTTCACTCTCTTTTTTTTTTACCCCTTCTTCTACTTGGCAATAACCCCCCACCCCAAAGAGAAATCACTATTGTTGCTCTTATTATCCAACTTTTCTGTTAAGAAATTGTGAAATCTCGTGTTGAATATAGTGTGGAAGAGTGGAAATGCTAATTAATTTTATGAAAAACTTGTTCCTTAACTTCCAATCTCTATAGATTATGAATTTGCTTATTCTTTCCTTATTGGCTTTGTGTTATGCACAAGTACTTTTTGTATTATTGAGTATCAACTTGGAAAAGATGTTAGATCAACCTTAGCGATATGCAGAATAGATTGTTAATCGCCTTAGTGTTTCCAATGCAGGTTATGGTTCTGGTTTAAACTATAATTCTGGTTATGGAACAGGAATAAATGGTTCATATGGAATGGGAATGTATAATGGTGGATTGTATGGGAACAATATGTATAGAGGAGGTTATGGTGGGCATTATGGAGGTGGGATGTATGGTGGTGGAATGTACAACAGTGGCATCGGAGGCCCAATGGGTGGTTATGGAATGGGCATGGGGGCCCCATATGGAGAACAAGATCCAAACAATCCATTTGGTGCTCCTTCATCTCCACCCGGCTTCTGGATTTCCTTGATTAGAGTGGTATGCCCTAATGCCCCTTCATCTCCATTAGTTTTCTTTCTGTTTTGGATTTGTTATTAAATTGAATATATGGGATTGCTGTTACCTTGTTAGGTTGGAATTAACTTCACCAATACTGCATATGTTAATAGTAATCTTATTTTGTGGGAAAGGATCGTCTGTAAGTTTTGTTAAAGCCACTAGTATTCCTTTTCGTAATGCTGTTCACTCTGATGTGGATGATCATTAAAAGGTGCTCGTGATATTTTCTAGAGTTTCCACCACTCTCTTACCTACCCTCCGATAAAAGAATAGACTGCCAAATTACTGTGACGCTCTTACCCACTGTATTTAACCCTTATGTATTAATCTAATATCATTTTCTTGGTAACAATTGCAGATGCAAGGTGTTGTAAATTTCTTTAGCCGAATTGCAATGTTGACAGACCAGAGTGTCCAGGCATTCCACGTGGGTGTAACCGCACTTCTTCAGGTACCTTTTTGCAGATTAACCTTGTTCAATTCTTTCATCCTTGTGGGGTTTTGTATTCTAAATTTCTACTCGTTCTGCTAGCATTTATTTCACATTGTTGTAAGAAATAGCTGCTATATACCGCACTCTCAAATATGTTGGTTCCTTGCAGCTGTTTGATCGTTCAGGATTATTGTACGGAGAATTTGGAGAGCTAGCTAGATTTGTGCTGAGAATATTAGGAATCAAAACAAAGCCCAAGAAAGTTCACCCCCCTAGTGCTGAAGGGCTCCCTGGCCCTCAGAGTCTTCAAGGGAATCAACACTACATTGAGGGACCTAAGGCTGCTCCTAGTGGTGCCTGGGACAGTGTATGGGGTGATAAGTGATAATACAAGTAGTTAATGGGCGCCAATCACTCCCATTTTGCTATGCTCCTATCCTCCTATATAAGTGATTGCGGGTAGAGGTCTCTATGACAACAAAGAGTGCAGGTAAAATGATGCTGCAATACCCTGTATAGAGTGCGTAATTTCCCCGGATAAGGATAATAAGAGGGCGTTTACTAACATGAAATTTTCAAGAAAATTTTTGAAGTTGTTGATACAACTCTGGGTTGGTTATAGGACTCAAATGTCATAGATTCATGCTTCAGAAACCTTTCTAGACTAGTATAGGATGAGTTTTTTATTTATTTATTTTTTTTTTTGACTTTATGCTTTGGCATGAAGAATTTAGTGCCAATGAGGCAACACAGCCGTTAATCCAGAAATTCATTCACACAGCAATAGTGGTTCATATTTTGATTATTCTATGTTGGACCAAAGGAAAAAGAAAACAAAAACATCTTTTCACTCTAAAAAGAAAAATACATCTGAAACTGTTTTTAGCCTTCTGCCGTCAAATTGAACATAATCATTATGTATAACTGAAGAGAATATGCTAAAAATAATTAAATTATTTTTTTTTAAAAAAATCTGAAGAGAAATGTCTTTACCAACTCAGTTGTGATTTGGTAATGAATAAAAACGAATGAACATAATGTAACATGCAACTAATGTTCCAAATAGCAAATAGATAAAGGGGTGTTTGGCAACTCGTTTTTTTTTTTTTTTTTTTTTTTTTTTTTTTTAAATCTTAGTTGGTCTTAGTTTATCCAACAAGGTAGATGGAAGAAAGTGCCAAGAGCGTATCCCAATTCCAGCCATTCTAGTAGTTCCACCACTCTACCACCCTTGCATCACTCGTCAGTGTACTGCTTTAGCCATACCTTAACTCTTAAACTACTCAAGGACAGCAACAAGAGAGATACAAATATTAGGGATGATAAGGGTGAAATACTCATTTCATAATTAAGTCAATCAACTAAGTGAAAAACACTACTATACTTGTTAATTGAGTTAATTCCAATAATGGTTCTCCGATTATTGCGATTTTTCAAAATTGGTCATTGACTTTTAATTTGGACAAAAAAGACACTTGACTTTCAAATTTGTTCCAGTAGTAGTCCTTCCGTGAATTTGCTGTTAGTTTGACGTTAAAAGCAGGGGTAAAAGTGTCCATTCATATGATGGATGTCTTCTTCCCATTTGTTCCAATGGCATAAACGGCGTTCAAAGCAAGATTCCCTTCACGGGGAAGGCTTTCTAGATGGCGTCTTATTACAGCATTCCCTTCACGGTTTACAAGTGCAATATTCTCCAACCTAGTGACATCAAGACCACCATCAGTAAGCTTCATGTCTCTCTCCTTTTCTGAGACTTCATTGAACATCCACAACTCTGAACCAGGAGCTAAGAAGGCTTCTAACACCTAAAATGCATATAACTGGAAAAAATGAGTAGGAAATCTTATATTTTATTCTTATTTACATTCCTAGTTGAGCCAAAAAGCAATAAAATGTGAAGGGATTCATAGCGGGTGATGGATATATTGGACCCGGATCGAACCGACTCGGAGAGACGGACCCGAGAAGCCCCTCGACCCAGTCAATTGGGCCGTGGTCGAGTCGGCCTTGGGCCGAGTCGGCCACGGATGGGCTCGGTACACCCGAGCCCATCACCATGGACTCGCCCACTACCGAGCCGGTCCATGGTGGACTCGGCTAGGCCGAGCTCGGCACGTGCCCAGCTCGGCCATGTCGAGTCGGCCCGCCTTGGACCCGGTCCCGGAGGGGACGCGGACAAAGCGGGCCGATCCAACTAACCCCGATCCTAGGGGTGCGGTTGGGGGGTTTGAGCTGATATAAAAAGCCTCCCTCTTGTCCTAAACAAGGACACGACACACAACATAACAGATTCCTGAATTGCTATCTTCTAGCCTTATTGTCTTAATCAAGCCTTGTAATAGCTTATTAGCGATAATTAATACAATATACGGTCCCTGCGACCTACGGTCCCCGCGACCTTATTATATCTCTGCGTCCTATTATTTATTTCGTACATATACTTATCCGGGTTTAATAATTCGGGCTACCCCCGGGGAATTAAATCCATCATTGGTGCTCTTGTTGAGAGCTGCTGTACCAGCTCAAGCGTATTCTATATTTAGTGGTCTACCACGACCTGCTACCATGACGAGATCGAGATCCAACTCTCGCCACACCAACGGTTCCCGCGGCACCCAGCTCGTCGCAAACGGGAACGGCCCCAACGGGGCCCCCAGCCTCCAACCGGCCGCCTCCACCAGGTCGGGGACTTGAGAGATCACCTCACCAACCATCGCAGCGGTGGGGTTCCAGCCCCCATCGCCCCTCCTCCAAATCTCGCTCCGCTACAGGAGGGGGCGGTTACCCTTTGTCAAATCCTCCACGACTTTGGTTCACCTCACAGAGGGTCCCCGAGGAGGTGCGCACGACGGTCTGGGGCCACATGAAGGAAGCCGACCCCGCCTCCACCTCCCTCAAGGGGGCACACCGGTCCAAGCACCCGGCTACCCCGGGCACTCAACACCCAAATCGAAGAGGATGTCAACTCACCCCGACCATCGGACACGCGGGGAGGGGGTGACATCCGCCAAGATCACCATCGAGAGGGTGATAGAGGGAGGTCGACCCATGTTAGGCCCGCCTTTAAGAGGCTGGGCATGCGCGTGTCGGCCCGAGATAGGTTGGGCCCAAGGCCAACCCCTAATGCACTACAAGCGGGGGAGTCATGTCCCCGAAGGTCGCCAAGCCGCGGGCCCCGAGCTCCGCCGCGACGCGAGTAGGCCTCCCGAGATGAGAGGTCGGGAAACAAATGGTCGAGCTCCAAGCACCAATCGTGACGAGGTCAAGCAGCTCCTTAAGTGAATGAACGAGCTCCCAGAGGGGATGGTCGCTCCCCAACAAGCTACCACCTTGTCGACCCACCCCGTTGAGGGGCTCCAAAGAGGTGTCCGAGACCTCTTGCCTGGCCCCGACGTCTCTCGAGGGGTGCCTACTTTTACCCCGCCCCTCCCAAGGGGGCGTGATAGGTCGAGCACCCGGCTCCCCCGAACCCCAGGAGCTCAAATACTGACATATGTTGTTGGGGTCGTGCGTGCCGCTCCCGACCTCGTCATTTACCTAACGGTAGTACATGGGGGACGCCCCACTCACTACCTAACGAAAGAACATGTTATGGGTTGCTTGCCCCTTGACAAGGTCGAAGCCAAGCCGGTGGGGAGAACCTACACAGTCCCCCGTGATATACACTACAAGAAGTCCTCCAATGACACCTTGCTACATTAGGTGTCAGTCATAGAGGAGGTCCACCGGGGGGTCCGTCCCCTCCAATGATGTTTTAAGAGGTGGAGCATTCCCTCCAAAGATGTTGCAAGAGGTGATCCGTCATCTCCAATGATGTTTCAAGAGGTCATCCATCCTCTCTGATGATGTTTCAAGAGGTCGTCCGTCCTCCCCAATGATGTTTCAAGAGGGGGAACGTCTCCTCCAACGATGTTTTAAGAGGTGGAGCATTCCCTCCAAAGATGTTGCAAGAGGTGATCCGTCATCTCCAATGATGTTTCAAGAGGTCATCTATCCTCTCCGATGATGTTTCAAGAGGTCGTCCGTCCTCTCCAATGATGTTTCAAGAGGGGGAACGTCTCCTCCAACGATGTTTTAAGAGGTGGAGCATCAGATGTGGCAAGAGGTGATCCATCCTCTCCAATGATCTTCCAAGAGGTGGGACGTCTCATCCTACAACGTTTTAAGAGGTGGAGCGTCCCCTCCAACGACGTTTCAAGTCCCTCCAACGATGTTGTAAGGATCGAGTACTCACCCGACCTCCCCAAGCGTACCCTAAGGGGGCACGAGGTCCGTGCCAGGCTCGGCCATGCCAAGTCCACCATGGACTGGCACGGCTCGGCAGTAGCCGGGTCCATGGTGACGAGCTCGGGTGTACCGAGCTCGGCCCATGGCTGAGTTGCTTTGGGTCGACCCCTCCAAAGATGTGGCAAGAGGTGATCCATCCTCTCCAATGATCTTCCAAGAGGTGGGACGTTTCATCCTACAACGTTTTAAGAGGTGGAGCGTCCCCTCCCACGACGTTTCAAGTCCCTCCAACGATGTTGTAAGAATCGAGTACTCACCCGACCTCCCCAAGCGTACCCTAAGGGGGCACGAGGTCCGACCTCGCGTACCCACCCCGACGGGAGAGCCCGGTGGCTTAGTCTGATAGAACTAGGCTCAAGCGGCTAACGTACCCTAAGGGGGCACGAGGTCCGACCTCGCGTACCAACCCCGACGAAAGAGCTCGGTGGCTTAGTCCGGCAGGACTCGACCCAAGCGGCTTGCGCACCCTAAGGGGGCACGAGGTCCGACCTCGCGTACCAACCCCGACGGGAGAGTCCGATGACTTAGTCCGGCAAGACTTAGCTCATGCGGGTAGCGCACCCTAAGGGGGCACGAGGTCTGACCTCGCGTACCAACCCCGACGGAAGAGCCCGGTGGCTTAGTCTGATAGAACTAGGCTCAAGCGGCTAACGTACCCTAAGGGGGCACGAGGTCCGACCTCGCGTACCAACCCCGACGGAAGAGCCCGATGGCTTAGTCCGATAGGACTAGGCTCAAGCGGCTAGCGTACCCTAAGGGGCACGGGGTCCGACCTCGCGTACCAACCCCAGCAGAAGAGCCCGGTGGCTTAGTCCGGTAGGACTAGGCTCAAGCGGCTAACGTACCCTAAGGGGGCACGAGGTCCGACCTCGCGTACCAACCCCGACGGAGGTGCCCGGCGGCTTAGCCCAAGGGGACTAGGCTCAAACGGTTAACATAAGGCATTGTGCTAAAAAAAATGAATCAATAAGGGAGAACTGATTGTCCATTCAAAACGCCAAGTCAATAGAATGTGCCCACCTCCCAGAGGGGAAACATAAAATGTGCCCACCTCTGGAAAGGGAAGCATGTTTAACGAAGCAAAGACAAAAGGAAGTATCTCCCGGAGGGGAGACATAAAAGGTGCCCACCTCCGAGAGGGGGAACATGTTTAACAAAGCAAAGACAAAAGGAAGTATTTCCCGGATGGGAGACATAAAATGTGCCCACCTCCGGGAGGGGAAGCATGCTTATCGAAGCAAGGTACAAAAGGACACACCTCCCGGAGGGGGCCATAAGATATGCCCACCTCTCGGAGGGGAGCCATAAAATGTGCCCACCTCCCGGAAGAGAGACACAAATGTGCCTACCTCCGGGGGGAGAGGCATGTTAGGAAAAGTACAAAGTGGTGGAGCGGAAGACGGAACCCATATGATAAAGAAAGGATGACGCTAATCAAGCCGCTATCAAGTCTAATCCTTGAGGTTGGGGTCGGCCACGTGGGGGTCGGTCACGTTGGGGTCGGCCACGTTGGGGTCGGCCACGTTGGGGTCGGTCACATTGGGGTCGGCCACATTGGGGTCGGCCACGTTGGGGTCGGCCACGTTGGGGTCGGCCACGTTGAGGTCGGTCACGTTGGGGTTGGCACGTTGGGATCGGCCACGTTGTGGTTGGCCACGTTGGGGTCGGCCACGTTGTGGTCGACCGTGTGGGGCTCGGATCCATGGAGTGCGACTCGTGTTTACTCTCCTTCATTAACGAACCTCGGCCCAAGACGCCTCGACACAAGGCACCTCGGCCCAAGAGGGGCTACCTCATGAGCTCACCCAAGAAGAGGACGACTACCTCATGAGCTCGCCCAAAAGTGAACTCAGAAATCAAAGTCTCATACACGATGCCAGGGAGTCCAAGACTTGTTAGTGTTCTTGCGGAAGAGAAGAAGTCCCGATGGCGATGAAATCACACCGAAGTCGGACAAAGAGGAATGCAGAAGAGAAGAAGTCTCGCTCATGATGGATATATTACGATTGGAGCAAACCGACCCGGGAAAGCGGAACAAGGAAGTATGGAATAGACCCGGGGCATAGCGGTGGGGCCCCGTGCTCGGCCCAAGGTGCCTCGGTCATGGTGAGCTCGGTCACAGGAGGTTGACTAATTATCAACTCGGGGCAATCGCGCAGGAGTCGGCTCGCAAGGTATCTACTCTCTATCGTTGTCGACTTATCACAACGAAGAGAGTGGGGGACTCGTGATGGATATATTGGACTCGGATCGAACCGACCCGGAGAGACGGACCCGAGAAGCCCCTCGGCCCAGTCAATTGGGCCGTGGCCGAGTCGGCCCAAGGCATCTCGACCTTGGGCCGAGTCGGCCACGGATGGGCTCGGTACACCCGAGCCCATCACCATGGACTCGCCCACTACCGAGCCGGTCCATGGTGGACTCGGCTAGGCCGAGCTCGGCACGTGCCCAGCTCGGCCATGTCGAGTCGGCCCGCCTTGGACCCGGTCTCGGAGAGGACGCGGTCAAAGCGGGCCGATCCAACTAACCCCGATCCTAGGGGTGTAGTTGGGGGGTTTGAGCTGATATAAAAAGCCTCCCTCTTGTCCTAAACAAGGACACGACACACAACACAACAGATTCCTGAATTGCTATCTTCTAACCTTATTGTCCTAATCAAGCCTTGTAATAGCTTATTAGCGATAATTAATACAATATACGGTCCCTGCGACCTACGGTCCCCGCGACCTTATTATATCTCTGCGTCCTATTATTTATTTCGTACATATACTTATCCGGGTTTAATAATTCGGGCTACCCCGGGGAATTAAATACATCAGCGGAAAAATTAGAATGTGAATTAGGTATAGGAGAATGGCAGTCATGTCTACCAGAGTCTATGCACATAGCCATGCCGGCCATGTTCTGGGAAATCTGTTGACTCAATGCAAGATTACCATTATCATATCTTCCATATCTCGCCGCCAACCACAAAAGAGAATCCTCTCTGGATACCTTTGGATGATTAAATTCTTCGGCAAATTTCACCTCTGAACCTGCAGCATTCATGTGAAACAAAAAAGGAATTAAGAGCTTTGATTGATTTAACTTACCACAATCATATCATCAATGTCCCGTCTCCATTCACAAAGTAGAATCTTCTGTGGCTTTTTTGTTGACCGAGCAATGTGTATGGTTACCTATTGTCATCACCTACTTAGTTATCAAGATTTCATACATTTCTGTGGGTTGACTAACAAGCTAGGCTGAATCCTGAAAATAGTGCATTCTCTCAATTCAAAACACATCCACAGTAAACCTAACTTATGAATCATAATTATTTAAAAGAATAAGAAAGCACCATACGCAGCGGCCCTGGAGCATATGAGTCATCATCTTCCGCAATAACAAGAACTTCATCTCCTTCTTTCAGAATGATTTTTCCGGAATGTGTCGCCAACATCTCCCAAACATAAGCTCATATAAACCTAGCAAATGAATGGACACTTTTACCCTTGCTTTTAAGGACAAACTAACTGCAAATTCACGGAAGGATTACTATTGGACCAAATTTAAAAGTCAACTAGTTAAGTGTCTTTTTCGTCCAAATTATAAATCGAGGACCAGTGCAATAAATCATTTTACCAAACACTTAATAGTTTATTGACCAATTAAACCAGTCAAACATAATCAAATCATTCAAATTTTTGTTAATTATCAGCTATTTACCAAATACTACCAAAGAATTAAAGATGAGATAAACTTTAAAGGTCAAACTAGACATTTCTTGAACTCTGAAACTATAGGTTAAGCTCAAACCTTCTAATATGTATAATAAATTTCAGGAAAGTGTTAAATAGACCATCGAACTTGTATAGTTTGTGTAATTTGAACAAAAAAAGTGTACAATTAAAACACTAAACATACAAAAAATGTGCAATTATCATTTTTTACCTATCGTTTCAGATTACCAAATTTAAAATATTTTTTTAAACATTTTATTCTAATAAATTTAAATAAAATAATTAATTAAAAAGAAAAAAAACCGGGTCCATGCCTTCTCCGGTGAGAAGGCAACCCAGGTCACCTTCTCCGGTGAGGGAGAAGGTGACCCAATTGCCTTCTTCGGTGAGAAGGCAACCTCGCCTTCTCACTGGAGAAGGCAACTGGGTCACCTTCTCCCTCAACGGTGAAGGCGACCGGGATCGCCTTCTCGAGGATAAATTTTTTTTGTTTGTTTGTTTTATAATAATTATTCTAATTAAATTTATTAAAATAAGTTTTTAAATTTAATCCTTATTTCAAAATTAGTTTAAATTTATTTAAATAAAAATTAATATTATATTATATATATTTGTTAAATGATTAAAGAAAAAATTCAATTTATTTTTCAAGTGACATACTAAATCAAAAGTTACCTGCAACTTATTACTTACCTATTAATACTGCCAATTACACATATTTTTAATGTTAAATGGTTTAATTGCACACTTTTTTTGTTCAATGGTCTACTTGCACAAGCCATACAAGTTCGATAGTCTATTTGACACTTTCCTAAATTTCAACCTTTTGGAACCAATGATAAATAGGCTCCACAAATTAGTAGTAAATTTTACAAATGTTAAAAAATAAAGAGTTAGATTTATCTATAGGTTATATATGTTTATGAATGTGTCAGTTATGAATAGTTACTTACAGTTACGTGTTTGATGTTTTTTTGTTAGAAACACAGATAGATAATACATTATCTATACATTTCCCATTCCTTGATTCTTCATTATTGCTTCCGCCTAACTGGCGGATGGTTTTATTCTCCACCCGCCAGGCCATTCCATCTTCCAAATTCAACAACAAATAACAACACTTGGATACAAAGTTGCAAAACCGGTAGTTCATCTTTCACTAGGGTTGCCACCCAATGGCTTCAAAAAGCGTTTTTAGCTTCTCCGAAACCGCCAAAAACTTGGAAGGTTTTAATCATCCTCCTCAGCAGCGAAATCTTTGACCTTCACATCTGCATCCTCACCATACTGAATGCAGTTGTCAATCTGTGCCAGGATGTATTGTATACTGCAGAAAGGGCATAATCTGTGAGTTTTGTGACAAAGCTTTCGGCAGTCGTATGAAGCATGGTAAACAGATCTAAGGAAATTATTAAAACATAATAGTTCAACTTCTTTGAATGCCCAAGGAAACAAGCCATCAAAAGACTACATAAACAAGTAGGAATACATCACCTGCTCTCTTTCCTCAAATCAAGCGGCATAAAGCTGACCATACTATACTGATCCACCTGATGCAACAAAGAATTATTACGTAATGAGAAACCCTAGTGAAAACCCATTTTTTGTTTTGAATCGAGAGAAACCCGCAGTCACTACCCGAGGGTGTGCCCATAACCGGCAGCCAGCCACCTTGTGACCCTAGCCGACAAAGAACCACAAAGAGGTAAACCAGCCTAGATTGCCCATAGTTAACCCACTCAAACCAAAAGGCCTAGGATTCAAACTCGTGACCTTGTGGTTACAAGTTTGTATCCTTAACCAACTTGGTTAGGGTTACCCCCAATGCAAACCCATTTTTATCCTTAACCAACTTGGTTGGGGTTGCCCCCAATGCAAACCCATTTGATTACACCAGACATGGATAGAGATGCATTTGCAAATTGGTTAGCATTGATATTATCGCAACACAAAAAATACAAAGAAAAAACAGATTTTGTAAAATGGCTAGTCACTTGGTAATTGGTATATATCTTAATTACACAAGTGTGCATGGGTATGCTAAGGATTATATGAAAAGCGGGAAAATTAATACTAGTCAGAATCCACTTCATTCTTACCAATTCAATTAAAGATTTGTTAAGCTTTTGAAACTGTGGAGCCATGCGTTGATTCAGATCCGCCAATAGCAACTGAGCCTCTGGATTCAAGTAACTACAGGTAGAAAACAAGTTAAAGAACACTTTAAGTTTGTGATATGAGCAGTAATGATTACAGAAATAAGCAACATCTGGATGCAAAAGGACTAACTTGTCAATATCCTTTTTATTTGTCACAAGGTCCATTTTTGAGAGAATGTTGACATGTGGCAATTCAAGTTGAACCATTGCAGAGAGGGAAGCCATACAACCACTGATGAATTTGGTCACATCCGTGATAAACTGAAACATTACAACGGGATGCTTAATAATATAATGCACACAATGTTGAAAATATCGCTAGGCGCCTGGGGACCGCCTGGCGGGCGCCTAGAGCGCCTAGCCGGGTGCCTAGGAGGCCGACCGCCTGGCGCCTAGGCGCGATTTTTGCAACACTGAATGCACATGAGCTACCTAAGGGCATCAATGGTATGTATGAGGAGAGGTGTATACCTGAGAATCAAGTAAGTAAACTACACAGACATTGAAATTCTTTCGCTTTAAATGTTCCACAAAATTCTTTAGCACAGGAACATGTGAGAAGAGTTCAATTTGACCTGTAAAACAGTTGCAATATTTGTAAACACAGAAATGATTGACCCCAAACAATAAAATGGCAGTGTAGCCAGGAAACACATTAGAGGCAAAAAGATCTATTTCAAAAATGTCGCTCCCAATTGGGTTTTCTGAAGAAAAAGGAAATTGCTTGATTTGCTTCTTATCTACCCAGTAGCTACATGTAAGAATTTTCAGTTTTACATGATGTATATAAACACATAGATACATATTAAGTACCTGGACAGTCAAAAACTATGTAGTCATCATCCATATAATTATCCAATTCCTCTGTTAGCCAGTCATCCAAATTTTCTTCAAGGTGTCTGACATTCATGATTAAGGGTATGCATATTTTTAAGGAACTATGATTAAGAAACTCTAGTGAAACCAATGTTGAAAAAATCGCTGACCGCCTAGGGCGCCTAGAGTGCCTAGAACACCTAGGCGGGCGCCTGGAGCGCCTAGGAGGCAGACCGCGTAGCGCGATTTTTGCAAACTCAAGAATAATGAACTTTTTAAAAGACTGGATCTTAATTGCTCTAATGCAAACTCAAGAACCATAAAATCATGCTCTTATAATAGGAAAGGCTTAGAGGATACTCCATGCAATAAATGAGGCCACCATTAGGGCCTAGATGTAGTTCCTCCATAACATCATCCAGTGAAATCAGTTCCCTGATGTCTGCACCAAATAGAACCCCAGTTTAAAATTTGTGTGTATTGCACTTCTAAATTAATTAGAATTAAAGCATAAGCTGATAGTTGGATTGCACATTAATGGTTATCTGTTCAACACGCCCCCTCACGTAGCGGAGATTCAAACCACCCATGACCTTTGGTCTGGCTCTAATACCAAATTAAAGCATGTGCTCCACCTCAACTAAAAGCCCTAACCTGATAGTTGGATTGCACATTAATGGTTATATGCTCAACAATTAGAAATCATACACTCCTACATACTCACCCATAGCCACTGGATAGTCAAAATTCTCTGCTGCAGGATCTAAGTTCACTATATGGATTGTTCGTCGTGTGGCTTCACAATGTCGATGCAAATTTGAGCAGTAAGTTGACTGCCACAAAGCAAATGATTTCTACCATCAGTCCTTGATGCAACATGCTAACAAGTGGAAATTGTAAAGAGACATGAAATCAAATATATCTGTGTTGCATACTAAACACATGTCCAAATAAGAAGCAACAAGGTTCATTAATCAATCACCTTTCCACTGCCTGCAGGGCCAATAACCAGCTGTGCGTAGCCCATTCTCCTTAATCTTATGTCTTTGCTGAAGTTTTAAGATCAAGCAGAAATATAGTATCAGAATGATACCGAGCCCAGAAGCAAAATTGCAAAATTCATATTATTACTTAATACAATAATTAAAATTATTAGGCAGTAACAGTAGTGTAGTAGGCAAATTAGCAAATATGAGTAGTAGGCAAATATTATAAGGTTATTGGCTATGGAAAATTCAGTACGCACTACGCAGCGTCTCAGCCGCCACAGCCGCAGCGCTCCGCCGCAACTATAGCAGTAGGCTGCAGCCACAGCCATCTATCGCATCCCTAACCTAACAATACTATAATAGGATAGTTGGATTATACAATAAAGAAGAAGACTCACCATGCGGCGTTGGGCGTCCAACTTTTTTCCGGAATTCCGGCGAACCTGCGAAGAGGACGGCTACGACTCTGCGAGAATTTCGGCAAGGCTGCGTATTGCGTAGGGGTTGAGCACTTGAGCCGGTAGGGAGTACTGGAGTAGGGACGTGGGGTTTAGCCGTTTTGGAATTTAGGAAATTGAATTATTAAAAGAGTTAATTATGGTCTGATTTTTCAAAATAAATCATTGATTATCAGATTTGTTTTACTACTAGTATTTCACTCGTGCGATGCACGAACATAAAATTCTAAATATTGAATTTATGTTAAGAAATTGATAGTAATTATTTTTGTTATTATAGTTGCATCATTACACAATTTTTTGAAATTGGAAGCGTTTCTAAATTTAAAAAAACTGTTACATATATGCATCATTCATTCTGGATTTTGTGTTATTCATTCACTGTGGATATATAGTTATGAATTTGTGGATATATAATTCAAATTATGCACAAAAAAATGCTATTGTCGGGAATCAAACCTATTTTTTTTTAAAGTGGAACACGCATTTTTAGTCAAAACGACGTCATTTTTGCAATCGTGTGCACCTTATATGGTGCACACGGTTGCACAACATAATTTGTGTAATACATGGTACATACCATTTTTAATTAAGTAGTTAATACATGGCTCATTTTAGATTTGTTCTGAGACCCAAATATCATTTGATTTTTTTCTTTTTTTGAGGATAAATACCATAAGAATAATAATTATAGAATTATATTAAAAATAGGATATGACATTGAAAATTCAAAAGTATTACAAATTATTAAAAATTTATTTATAAACAACATTTTGTGTAGTGTTCAAATAAACAGTAGAGTCCCCACATGTTAAAAATTTTGAGACCATTTGGAAACTCACTGCTTGTCGGAGTGTTAAATTGTACACCTTGAATTGAAATGTCATCATTTTGAGAGTTGATGCGATTACCGATATCCATATGCTCATACGAATAAATTTACTGTCCTTAGATATTTTCATTTTCTGAGCCTAAAAATGCATAATGTGTAAAAAGTAAAATATTGGTACCAATTCTAAAATCATTCATAATTATAAATATAGAGTTCAAATCAAATAATGCAGTTAAATAATTTTATAATGCAGTTAAATATTTTTAATATAATATATTCAACAGATTAAACTTTAAATATAACATATTTTGTATCAAAATCTATTTTTTAAATAAGTAATATCAATATATTATCAATATTTTGTGCGTGTATATATATAATCCAAATTAAATACATTATCCATTACATCATACTGTCTGCCAAATTGTAGTATATATGAAACCAAATTCAAACCCTAAAAATATTCTATTTTCATGTATTTATAATGATTTCAGTCTGTATATATTTAATTCAAATCCTATTTGAAGAGAATACATAATTGTTTGTTATTGGAGACTGAACAGTCAGGTAATCACGGCTATTAACATACATGCATTGGTAATACAAATATTTAATCACCAAAATGTATTTAAGAATAAGAAGGAAAAAGTTATCGAATTCCAATACACATTGAATAATGAGGAGTTTCAAAAATTAATTAATACAAATTGTATTAGGTCCATAATATTAAACTAATATAATATAAATCTAATTATAGAAAGACAACTGAAAATATTCAAAATTAAAATAAATTGGCTAGATTAATAATATTATCATAATGATAAAGAAATTGCAAATTATTGTTTAAAAAAATACAAATTATTGAAATTTTTTTTATATACAACATTTTTAAAAATAATTACATATCAAGACTTTTAACTCATTAGCTGGTTAACCCTTGAAACAATAACATACATTTGAAAATGTACTTTTTCAACATCTTAAATTACATACCTAAGAAACGACTACGGAAAGACCCTACAAATTTTAAGCATGTGAAAAATTGAATTTAATTTATTATTGCAAACATTTCACTTTGAATCAAAATAAAATACAAAGAATATATAAATTCACAGATTTTTATTTTAAATGCTAATGACTGTATTAGAATGCAGTATCCTAAAACAGTAGTGAGGTTCGAATTCACATATTTGTTTTTATATGTTAATAAATAAAATTTAATAAACTCACATAATTTATTGAATTAATTAACTCATAAATTAAATAGTATATAGTACATTTTAGCCTCTACTTCATGTATTGAATTATATCGGATAATAAACAATATATAAAATATATAATAAATGTAATAATTACTGGCAAAAATTAAAATAAATAAAAAAATATACATATAACATACATACTTTAACATTAGTTAATCTTTTTTGTAGGTCCAAATCTAAACTACCAGCACAATATTGCTTTAACAGAGTAAACTTTACAAAGTTTAATGCAAATCCTTTTAAACTAAGCATACTACCATGCATTGTGTAATTAATCCTGGAAGGTTCTACATTGATAATGTATGACTGTAGAAAATTGAAAAACATATTTACACCATCGATGAATTACTCATCCACAAATTTCCACAAATTCCCACCAATAACACTACTATTTTGCCGTCACCCCCCTGAAAACACATTCTAGCCTCCTTCGAAGGCTGAGTTGATGAAAATTCATTAGGAAGAGACCTTTTAATTTTTTTTTGCTCTCATCCCCACTCAAAAAATTGCTTCCAGCAACTTATTATGGAAAAACACACAGGAATTAATCACCAAAATGCATAATGAAAAAATAAAGTATGCCATACAGGAACTGCTTATCAAAAAAATTCGACCAATAACATTACTCTTATTCTCACTCTCAAGCTTGAAAACACATTCTTGCCTTTCTTTGAACGGATGAAAATTAATAAAAAGAGACCTTTTTATAGATGTAGTAACATTCCCACTCACAAAATTGCTTCCAGAGTTCCAGGAAACTATTACGCAAAAACATTAAAATTATAAAGAAAACACAGTATTTTATATCAGTTTTAACAAAAACACAAGATATATTAAAACACAACAAAAACACAGTGTGTATATATATATATATATATATATATATATATATATATAAAGAAAAAGGAATATGAAGGAGTGAAATTAAAAGAACTTGATTAGACTGAATTTGATGATAGGACAATACAAAGGACCCTCTTCTGCTTCAATTTCCGGATTATGGACATCATCCTCTGCAATGTCCAAATCCTCTTCTGCTTTGCACTAACTTCCTCTGCAACTTCAGGATTATGTACCCTTTGTTACTTCCTTAACCTCCTCTAAAGTCTTCTCCATGCATGTTGCTGGCTCTGGAACCTCTGCTGCCATTGGTGTAGCTACATCTGTCTGTCTTTGATAATAACTGAAAGAACATAAATCAAGGTAAAGAGACAGAGTGTTTCTCCATCAGATGGGTAATAAGACATCTCCGTTTACGTGAACGGTATGTGCAGCCCATATGCATTTCATACATACATACCTCAATCACAAAACAACACTATTTACACTTGATTGTTTGTATTCAACGGCGGACACAAACGCCACCCATGAAAGGAGGACGTGGTACAATGAGATTTTTACCCTCATTTATAATATGGCTAGCGACAAGAATTTATAGGCGAGTAGAAGTTTATACCTCTTTGATCACTACAATGGAGTGTATATATAGGATTCTAGAGACACCTGCATATCAATAACTCTGCATTATTACCTTTTGACGTTATGATTCTCACTGTGCGCATATTTAATCTGTTTTGGTATTGCAAATGATAAAATCTCTTTCCTCGGTAATAGATCTGTATAAACTACCATAATTAAAGATTAAAATATAAGAAATCGTTTAAACTTCCAAAGATAAAGATAAGTGATGCGTGGAACTTAATTTTTCTCCAGCCAATAATGTTAAAAAGGGCACCGTTTTTTATGGGCGGGAAAATACTCAATTTGATTGGCCATGACTATATGGCTTTAATATATAGAAGGATTGGTCTTTTTTTAAAGATCAATTTGTTAGGCGTTAGTGTAAGGGTTAAAATGGTCTTTTCATTACTTTCTTCTTCCTCCTTGTCCAACTAGCAATGGCTGAGCGGTGGCAAAGGTGGCCTCTCTTCCGACGAGCTAGCTGGGCAATAGCAGCGGTGACGGCGACTTTCGACCCCGGTGATGAGCAAAGCGGTCCTCCCTCTTCCGTCTCCCTCTCTCCTTCGCCCGATCTTACACCCTCGTGGTCAAAGATGTTTCCAGTCACACTGCATGTGATGGCTGAATAAGCTCAATTATGTCCATAGCTTCCTTCTATCTTCATTCATTCCCTGATTATTGTAGGGATTGGAAGGTCACGGTAGATGATTGGGTCCAAGCTATAGCAACCATTACAGGTAGTTATTAGGAAGAGTTAATGTCACATGAAGTCCTCCGAGTATAGTGATCTTGTCACGTTTAGTCTTAAACTTTTAAATAATCATTTGACTTTCAAATTTGACTATTCGTGGTCCAAATTAACCACCCATGGTCTTTCAACTTTCGAAATTTAACCAGCGGCGGTCCTCTTGAAAGGTCCATGGTTGGTTAAAATTTAATAGTTGAAGGACCATGGATGGTTAACTTGGATCACAAATGGTTAAATTTGAGAGTCGAAGGACGTGACAAAATCATTATACTCATAGGACCTCGGATGGTATTAAGTATTAACTCTTATTAGGAACCTTTGTTGGGGTATAAACGCGCTCAAGATAAGGTTAAAAATGATTTATTGACTATTCATTTCCGCGCTTCTCTGTTGCTCAAATTGGGTATGGTGCCTTAATTATACGGAGAAGATTAAGATGTTCATATGGTAGATCACTAAAAATGGCTTGCTCATCAATTCCGAACGTAAATAAATATGAGTTAATACTCAATTTAATCCTTGATTATAGTAATATTTTTCGATTTAGTCCTATGTGACTTTTTGTATTTATAATTAGATCTTCGATTTTGATGACTTTACTCAATTGAGTCTTTGATTATTAGAATCAAGAATTAAATCGAGAAAAATCATTATACTCCTCAATTGGGTAAAACCACTATAGTCGAAGACTAATTTGGATAAAACTACTATAATCGACGACTAAATTGAAAATTAATAGAAGTAAAATTACCAAGTTATCTTAAGAGATGACTCATTTGAGTAAAATCATCAAAGTCAAAGACCTTAATTAAGCAAAAAAAGTCATTTAGAACTAAATCAAGAAAAATCACTATAGTCGATAACTAAATTGGGTAATAACTCTTAAAATTATAGTTATATTGAAATATATTTTAGAAAAATGACACTCCGTAGCATATAATTTTTTTGAATGTCATAAAATTCATAGTTAAAACAAGTTATATCATATTAAAAAGTATAGTTGATAATTTGGGTTATAATTATGCTATGATTAATAATTGTTAAAGTAAGAATTTTAGATATGGTAAATGATTACATATTGTCAAACGAACTTAGAGTGTAATTAAAACAATACATTAATATTACTATAACTAAACTAATGTGTGTGGAAATTTAAATTACAAAATAAAGTTCATGCCATGAAACTGTAGTAGAATTAAAATGATACTTTGATATTGCAATAATAAAACTAGTGTGTATGAAAAATAAAACTAAAAAACAGATGAAACTAGTGTGTATGAAAAATAAATACCCTCTCGCTAAGTGTTTGCCTCCTTATATTAATTTAGTGTTCACTAAGCAATTTGCAACAAACAGTCTATTTCCATGCAATTTGCGACAAACAATCTATTTCTATATCTGATTGCTCGTAGTAGTTCAACAGCCCTTACCCATCAAAAACAAAAATAGACCATTAGAAAGTTGTTGTATTATTCCTAGACACATCACGTGCTAGTCTTAATGGACCTTTATGCTCGATCCTGAGGAACCCTGCCTCCTTCAATTGAATTTTTGGCAGGTTTATTTAACGAGGTCGAGCCTTTATTGGTAAAATTTTGTGAGGTGGAGAGTGCTCCATACTCGTTCAATAAACCTTCTCTGAATCATTCCTAGCTTTTACTAATTTTTAGACTCAAACATTTTAGCTCAACATAATGACTATATTCATCTAATTTTTCACGAAATCCATCCAACCAAAACTGAATTTAATGAATACAAAATTTCTGATTGTCTTAACGACAGGCTTCACTATACTTCAACCAGCAGCTTGTATCTGGGTTCTAAACCCAAACAAATTCTCAAATAACTTGGGGGCCATGGGAGGCAGTTCCATGGGCTGAGCAGCCATGAAATTCACAATCTTTTCATGTACATTATATCTGCATAATACCCAAAATTGTGTTAGATTTGCACACTAATTACCACAGTTGCATAGGCGCTAGTCGGGCAATAGAGGACAACTAGTCGGGCAATAGAGGGGCACCTAGCGCCTAGACCACCTAGGCGGCGCCTACAGTGCACGTGTGGTAAATAACTATAACAATATACAACTATATATATATATATATATATATATATATATATATATATATATATATATATATATATATATATAGAATTAAGTTTCAGTGCGGGTGAGTTTCCCGTGCGGTTGTGCGGGTGATTAAGGTGCGTGAGTCTTGTGCTTAAGGTGCGTGAGTATGCACTTAATGAGAGTTGTTGAAACTTAAGGTGCATTAGTTTTGTGTTAAATGTGCGTGAGTTTTGTACTTAAGGTGCGTGAGCCTTGTGCTTACAGTGCGTGAGTTTTGTGCTTTAAGGTGCGTGAGTGTATACATAATGTGAGTTGTTGTTGAAACTTAAGGTGCATGAGTTTTGTGCTTAAGGTGCGCGAGTTTTGTGCTTAATTGTGAGTTATTGAAACTTAAGGAGCATGAGTTTTGTGCTTAAGGTGCACGAGTTTTGTACTTAAGGTGAGTGGTTGTTGAAACTTAAGGTGCGTGAGTTTTGGGCATAAGGTGCGTGAGTTTTGGGCTTAAGGTGCGTGAGGTTTGTGCTTAAGGTGTATGATTTTAGTGCTTAAGGTGCGTGGATTTGTGTTCTTAAGGTGTTTTATTTGTGTGCTTAATGTACGTGTATTGTGTACTTAAAGTGTGTCAATTTAATGCTTAATGTGCGTCCACCCGCATGACCGCACGAGAAGCCCTCCTGCACCTGATCCCTTCCCTATGTTGAAAACTAAAGAGTTAGGTTTATCTATAGGGTTGTGTCTGTTTATGAATAGGTGTCAGTTACGAGTAGTTATTTACAATTATGTATTTGTGTATATATATGTACTGTGTTTCTGTATTAGAAACAGAGAGAATATACCAATATAATTTCAATTTTATATTCATTTCCTAGTCTTGATTCTTTATATTGCTTCCGCCTAACTGGCGGGTGGTATTATTCTCCACCCGCCAGACCATTCCATCTTCCAAATTCAACATGGTATCAGAGCCTACTTTCCTAGGGTATTTCAAACATCAAAATTGTATTTTTCCTTGTGATGTATTCTCCGGTGAAAATTCCAGATTGTTGTTTTGCCCTTGGACCTTTTGGTGAAGTTTGAAGGCTTTTTGGGTTGGTTGCCAAACCTCTTTCCGGGGTGTTTTTGGTATAACCGTATTTGTTTCTTTATATTCGGTATACCACACTTAGTCCCTAGGTTTTCATGTTTGGCACCTTGTTTATTTCCAGAAGCTTCTTTTGTTATTCACTTATCCTATAAGAGGTATAAACAACAATCATGTGGTTTTCTCGGTATTCATACAACAATCTATGGGCTCTACTACATCCCCTTTGCTGCTCATGATTTGGTTGCTCTGCCGTTCTTTATGGAGATTGTTGATTGGCAAATCCTAGAATGCTTATGTTGCTGTGAGGGTGTTCGTGTTAATCTTCGCCCTTGGTGACTTCATTCCCAAGGTTGTTTGTGACAAGCTTCGCCCTGGTGCCTTCATTCCCAAGGGTTGTTTATAGCATTGTTCCTCCGAAGCCATCCAACATTGTTATTCTCTAGCTGCTTTTAATCTTCATTTGTAATGTAGAGTGTATGTTTTAATCCAAGCTTGGAACTTCTAGATTGAAAACTAAAGAGTTAGGTTTATCTATAGGGTTGTGTCTGTTTATGAATAGGTGTCAGTTATGGGTAGTTACGGGTAGTTACTTACAGTTATGTATTTGTGTATATATATGTACTGTGTTTCTGTATTAGAAACAGAGAGAATATACCAATATAATTTCAGTGTTATATTCATTTCCTAGTCTTGATTCTTTATATTGCTTCCGCCTAACTGGCGGGTGGTATTATTCCATCTTCCAAATTCAACACCCTATATATATATATACACATACACACACACACACAAAATTAAAAAAATTAACCCGGCCGAGTTCGCAACTGAGTCGGCCAAGTTGAGCGCCTAGGCGACCGACTGCCTAAATGGCACTTAGGGAATAAATCTCCTCGGCCTAGGGACGCCTAGTGCCTAGGCTGTAGCCTAAGCCAATTTTTACAGCACTACTAATTACTAAATCATGATTGTGTTAGGGAAGGTGTAAAAGAATAATCAGTCCGGCAGCTGACCTGATTTTTCGACTCTTTGAGGCTCGCCGGTCAACAATTTTTCTTTTCTTTGTTTGTAGTCTTTTCAGGGTATAAAATGCCTTATCTGTAAATGATAGAGCATTGAAACATTCCAACTTTTTGAGTAAATATTATAAACAATCAACAACCTTATTAGTCTTGACACTTCATTAACAATACTCTCAATTTCTTGCATTGCTTTCATCTTATATAAGAGCATACACGTACTACATGCCTATATGACAAATTGAAAAAGGAGTGATGAGATAAAAGATTGTTGAAGAATCTTACCGGATGAAGTTGGATCAATTGTCTCAAAAAATTCCTTGAGCAATTGCTGATAGAAATCGGAATCATCCAGAAGTTCTGGGTTGCCGTCAGCATTTATGCCCTCCTGATCAAGTTATACAAAATTCAGCATCTTCAATATTCTCTTACCGATCAGAGAAAAAGAATTGAGTAGAGTTGTTGCAGAAAAACAATCTTGAGCGGAAGTTACTGCTAGTACTGCATAATCAAATAGTAAAACAAACGAATGAATATACATACATACCTCTTGTGTGGTTGTAAGATCTGGAACCTGGCCAAGAGAAAGGGTATAATAAAATCAGTATTTCCTATTGCCATGTAATCAAATTGAAGTACAAAAAGGCAAGATGTTGAGCATATATATAATATATAAACATAAATGTGCAATAGGCTTTTAGTTAAGATGAAACACATGCTTCAATTTGGATTCAAAGCCAACCCCATGCCAAGGGTCATGGTTTTGAATCTTCTGGTCACCCGATAAAAAGAGACTATGGTCCACGTGTTGCTTGGAGCCCATCAAAAGTAACCGGCTCGTACACGAGGGGCGTGTTGAGCATATAATATATACACATAAATGTGGGCTTTTAGTTGAGAAGAACACATGTTTCAAGTGAAGACAGACTTACAGTTCCAAATAGAGCAACTGCAGATCTGCTAAGCTGCATACCCTTTATCATTTTACTTGGATCTCTCATGTAATTACCCACTTGTTGACTAATACTCTGCAATTAAAATATAAGATAAGAAATGCGAAAAGCTTGTTCATTTTTCCACATACACATCATCCAAAATCCTGCAACCAAACCTGATTAAACGCATGCAATTTGCCTTTAACTGCAGCAGCACCACTTGTTACTTGGGTCCTCCTCTGCCATTTGTCTACTGACTTGTCTCTAAACGAAGACATCCTTTCCATGAAGAACAAAAGGCATCATGAGTATTAACTTATGCAAAATAATAATCTATAAATAAACGAAAAAAATAAAATAAAATAAATACTACAGAACTAACATCATGAGTACACCATTAGGAATGTAAAATGAAATGAACGGCTGCAGTTTCTTATTTTCTTTTTGTTTTAAATAAGAACAAAGAATTGCTCCGTATAGATCATAAAGGGCAAAATTGCATCACAAAATTAATAAATTAATCATATATTGTTTATACTATACTGCTAAATACAGTTGATCCACAGCAGTTTTGCATGTATACCGTCACCCCATTTCTTTCAAGAAGAACAAATTAGAAGTAACATACATGATTTAGTAATGTTCCATGGAAAGCAAGATGACTTGTTTTGTTCTATGAACATTCCATTGATATAAGACATGTAGTGACCAAGATCATGCTTAAACAGACTAAAAATATATTGATATGGTATAGAGCAGGCAGAAGCAGCATGAAAGATACCTTGAATGCATTTGGGTAATTTGCAACCATTCTTCATCACTTTTGCCAATGGACTGATGAGAAGCTTCCGAAACTTCAAAACCTATTGCATAATTAACATTCAAGACAAATATTTAGGAAACCAAGCATTGAATCAGAAAACCACAACCAGACCATACCAACTCCAAAAGTATAATCATAGGAAAGTGAAGTCTTGAGCCTAACCATAGATCAATTCAATAACTGTAGAGAATATCAGGGAAAAGCATAGGAAAACAGCCAATGTAGAGATGCCAAAAGATGTAATAAATTTCCAATGCTGGGGCAGCAAATGGAATATGTGGTTTAGAATTAATACTAGCTGGGGTACTCCGAAGACTGCCACATTTAGTCCTAAACTTTCAATTTAACCACTCGTGGTCCTTTAACTTTCAAATTTAACCAGCTGTGGTCCTTCCGTTAGTTTAAGTAAGGGCAAAGTTAAGACCATGGCTAGTTAAAAATTTAAAAGTTGAAGGACCACAGGTGGTTAACTTGAAACTTGAAGGACCATGGATGGTGTAACTTGAGTTGAAGGACCACATGTGGTTAAATTGAAAGTTTAGGACTAAACGTGGCGGTGCCACTATACTCGGAGGATCCCAACTAGTATTAACTCTTATGGTTTATTTCAATTAAAGTTTTAGGTGGTCCTTCCATTGCATTTTAGGTGAGTCTCAGGCTCTCATAGCATGAAAATTTTCTCATGACGGTACTTCCCTCTCAAATGCCCAAAATACTCTAATGGAAATTTGATTTCTCATGTTCTTGATTCAGGTGATCAAAGCTCGTCTGAAATGTAGTTGGAGGGGCTAATTAGAACTGTATGTGAAACATTGGTGATTGATTTCAACCGAAACACACTACAAAGTGTATCACAACTAATACAGTAATACATCGAAGATTAAAGAAAAATTTATATAATTAAAATTGATCATTAACTACTAATACAGTAATACATCGAAGATTGAAGAAAAAATTATATAATTAAAATTGTTCATTAACTGGCTCCAATAAACCCACGTTTGGCCAAATGAAGTTAGATCAAAGATGCACAACATAAAAGTAATATCAACCCTGTAGCCTAACTTCAGCATAAAGCAATACACGCTTTTTTTTTCTAAAAAATTAAAAAAATAAATAAATAAAATAAATAAATAAAAAAGTTGTTTCTGCGAGAGAGAAACCAAATAAAGAATTCATTTTGAAATAGGATGGCGATACAGATAAAGTCAGAACTTCTACTTGTCAAGATAGAATATAGGAAGACCAGTTACTCAAATAGAATGTTTAATATGTAAGAACATGTCATACCATCTGTGGATTGAGTAATTGATGGATTCTTCTCAAGAAGTGCCTGCAAAATTTATTTTTGAATTTTAGGTGAATATGTTTAACACTGTATCCAACTCTTCAACACTATATAAAACATAAAATATTAAAAATAAAAATAAAACAATATGCACCATACTATTAAAACCTTATTCATAATTCAGCTACACTAATAAGCTGATTTGGTATTATCAATTGATCATCGTACCTCCTGTAATTCCAATATAGAATCCAAAGTCTTCTTTGAAGAACCAATTAGATCTGAATATGCCTCACTAACTTCATCCCCATAGAATGAAGACTTAATTGGCTCCTGAAGAAAATGAACTTGAAATCAACCATACTGTAAAGCGCAACCGAATGTACACATCAAATAATTCAAGAGAATATGGACCTGAGGAAGTCTATTGGAGTTTGAAAATGCTTTCTGCAGCAAGAATCTTAACTCAAGAGTCTTGTCCCAAAGAACCTTTGCGAAGGAATAAAAATGCAGATTAGAGAAAGGATTTTGAAAATCATGCTAGACACATGATTGAAAAGCCATAATACTGAAAGATAGACATGGATAGATGCAGAGCAATACTGGGAGCAATGATGCATTAATACAAATTACCATATAATTCAAACTGACTGCCCAAAAGGGAAATATTTTTACTGAACCTTAAACCACAGATGTAACTTGTTCTAAAACATATATTACAGAAATTTGACTAAAACACAATAACACATACAGTAGAACACTTTATGATGACTAGAAGTCCATAGAATTAAAGCTTGTCTTTGGGGACTTTATATCCTAATTTCTTCAACGTTACCAAATTTTTATTCCATAGAAAGATTTTGGAGATGCTCAAATGAAGATCACATAGAAAAACACAATTGCATGTAAAACGACAAACTAAAGCATCAAGTGATATCATACCTTCTGATTTTTCACAGCTTCACCTTTTAAAATATCTTCATCCTTATGGCTTGTTAGATTACTTAGTAGATCTCTGAAGAAAAAAATGGCAGAATCAAGTTACAAAGTACATGACCATTTGCAATTTAGAAACTCAAATATATCCTTTGAAATAAGCTTTCCCAGGTTAGCAATTTGGTATTTACCAAAAATGATAGGGAAACACAATATCATGTAGGACCAATCTTAGAAGGAGGGAGGAAGAAGGAGAGAGGGAGGGGACAAAGGTAAAGAAAAAACCGTTGTTTGACATTTTTTGGGTAAATGTTCATGAAGGAATATCCATGTCCTGAACTAGACAGCATCTTAAGAGAAGATTGCAGTAGATTTGATATAATTCTTCTACAAACTGGAAATTTATGGCAATGTGAAATTGAGTCAATTAAAATATTCTTTCTTGTTTGATTATCAAGGTCCTTAATAATTTCATCAAAGTCCTTAATAACTTCAGCGTATGCACTTCCATTAAATATGCACTTCCATTAAATATAGAGTTATATTAAAAAGCGCACACACATGAGCAACCATGCAAAAATGACTACAGGCCTAATACCAACAAGGCAATTACCCTTGTTCCTCGTCTTTTACTTCAATTATTGAAGTTCAATATTTGATTGAATTAACTTTTCACCTTCCCTTTCAACTTCAAATGCCAAAAGAATCATCAAGATTATATGAGTGCAATTTAAATGCAAAATGGGCACAATCAAAGAGAAAACATTACTTCTCCTTGTGCTGAAGCTTCCTATATTCATTCTCAAGCACCTCCATTTCTGCATTCTTTTGCTCCTCATTCTGTTTCCATCCTTCTCTTTCATCATCCCCTTCCTCATCCTCATCATCATCATCATCATCATCTTCTTCACCAGTGTCATGACTTCCATAGTTGCTCTCTTCCTCCTCACCACCATCATCACTTACACTATTTCCCTCTTCCTCTTTGTCCTCATCACCATGGCTGTAATCACCGATGTCACCATTGCTATCACCCCCCTAAATAAGTGATAGTGAACACCAGCAACTCAAAATAATTATTATAGTAAAAAAAAAAAAAATAGAGATAGTGAAGAAGGCTAACATTAGGCAGCATATCATCTAGCATTTCATCACTGTCAAATTCAGAACCACTTTCACTCTCCTCCCTATTGATTTGTTGAGACCGCTTTCGAGACTTCCCCATCTCTTTCATCCCCAAAGCTCAAAGGACAGTGTATAGTGCCTGCCAAATTAGGAGGTCAATGGAGAATTTGAAGACATGGACAAATACCAGATTCAATATATTTTGTCTCTTTATATCTGTTAATCTACATTTGGGAGAAAATTATGCTAGAAGTTCCAAACAAGAGAGAAAGAGAGAGGTATACTAACACCCACCTGGAGAAAGGGCATGTCATAAATATGAATATATAATCTAAATATAATATGCTCTGAGCAGAGAGATAGTGATAGTCTATGTTTGTGACATTTAATGGCCTGTTTGGTACAATGTAGTTTGGTTGTAAAAGAATTGAAATTCAATGAAAGTTGAAATTACATTGTTTGGTTGGAGGGAATTGCAATTCCACGGAATTGCAATTCCCTCCTTTTACTGAATTACAATTCATGCCTCCACCCTAAGAATTGCAATTCCATGCTTTGCGGAATTGCAATCTTATTATAAATTACCAATTTACCCTCATTAACATTATTATATTAATATTATATAAGGGCATTTTAGTGTTTATTCACTTTTTCCCTCTCAATTTCCTATAACCCTATTCCTTCCTACCAAACAATGTAATTTAAATTCTACTTTATTTTTTTCCCACCGAATTACAATTCATTTCCCCCTAATTCCTTCCTTCCAACCAAAGTGGTGGTGGTGGTAGTGGAAGAAAAGCAAAGGGAACTAAGCAAAAAGAAGACACTACATGTGACTCATTACAAGTCATAACTCACATATCAACAATAAAGCATACATGTTACTCTCTATGTCTCTGTTAGTCAGATAGGTCTACCGTCATTACCGAAGGCTAGGGGAGGCACAGAGTGACGGAGAGTCAGTGACTACTGCCTACTATAGTACTAGGGTGAGAAGCAGAGGCACCGATCAGCATAGAGGCGGTCGCCAGTCAGCAGAGACGGAGAAGACTCAGGGCTCTGGTCTGGGTGTCTTACGTCTGGCCGAGAGACAGAGAGGTGACTGGAGAGCGTTTGAGGAGAGGGAAAGGTGAGCGACTTCGCAAATGCTGAATTGAGGGTTGAGGGCTGAAACCCTAAACTAAAAGCTTTTATATACTAATGTAATTCGAGTTTCGGGTCGGATTTGTAATTTATTTCCTGAACCCGGAACCCGAATCGAAATTACACACATTTGCTTTACTTTTTCGGAGTTAACCCCCGTTAACGGTCGAATTTGACCCGAATCGGGTTGTTCGATCGGGTTCGTGAGAATTTCGGGTCCGGCCCCTTTTTACCCCACCCCTAGTAGCTATTATTATAATTTGAAAGCAACAATTGCTTCAGGCTTAAAGAACCCTTAGTCCCATCACTCTTTTGACCTCATCTAAAGTTAGCTCATGAGTTTTCACCCCAGAAATTCATAATTACTGAGACATTCTTTAAATTCAATATAATCGCCATCTGGGTAAGTTGAGCGAGAATTTGTCCCTAACAGTCCCCTGGGTCATGCCAGAGTAATGACTGGCCAGTGCCCGAACATCTCTGTCAAGTTGCAGGCCTCCAAGTTGACTGAATCTCTTTTGCAACATTATCACTTCCAGCCTTCCAACATTATATATAGGGTGAGGTTCAAGTGAGGCTAGGGTATTATGTGAGGACTGTGGACAAATTGCATCCATTAGATCAGGCCATCTAACGGCGCCGATTGTACAAGGAGAGAATTGAAACGTGCAGGAAATCGGGTAAATAAGTATAGTAGTAATTAATATAAGAGGTAAAATGGTAAAATGATAATTGATTGTGCAATAAAAGAAAGGAAAGAGCGAAACGTTCGGGTATGTACGCGTAGGGTTAAAACGACGGAAGTGAAGGGAAGCTGTTGGAATTGCACATTCACCAGAGACGAAACCGAGAGCTCAAGCGACGACTAGTTGAAGCGGTGGGGGAGACTACACAACCGGGAGCTATGGCGGAGGGAACCCCAAGAAGAAGTCAACGACGTGCATCTCTTGAGGCAACGAGCAGACTCCGTAAGCGAAACCTTGTATATTTTTTTGATTTTTTTTTTTATTTCGATCACTTGCATGCAAAATTGGAAAGATTGTTTGTGAAATTGCATGTTCGAATGGTTTGCTTCTGTGCAAATTTTGATTTTCTTTTGGATAATAAAAATTAACTGATGGTGGGTGTCGATTAGGGCGATTGGCTTCGACTCCGTTAGAGTGTCGCCGATGGGTGAGGGCAGCAAATACAGTGTGGGAACAATGGGGTTCGTAGTCAATGGTTTTGTGCGATTTATATTTTTTTTTTGGATAATATAATATCGATGATGGGTGTTGAGTACCCCGACTGGATTGGACTACGTTGGAGTGTCGCTGGTGGGTGAGGACGAAAAATAGAGTGAGGGAACAGGGGGGGGGGGGGGGGGGAATTCGAAGGAAAAAAATGGGAGTTTGCTGTCAAGAAGTTTTTACCCGTTTTTTTATAAGCTTTTTATTAGGGAGGTTTAAGGTTATTCAAGAACAACCACCGTACTAGGTGTAGAAGTACTGGAGTGTATGGGATGAAGTGTGAGTCTGCACAAATAGGTAGAGGAGCAGACAAAATGTTGACGTTAAAAGACAAAGAAGACAAAATGGACGAGTGCACAAACTGGGAAAAAGTATAATGGAGACATAAAGTAGAGTTTTTGTTTTTAACCAATATTCCAAAAAAGTGTGGTTAATACTGAATTTGTTACCATATAAATGGATTGAAAACCATAAAAACAACAAGTAGGGACCACTAACAGTAAAACTGAATTTAATAATGACATACAAAGTGTTAGATAGAAATAAGTGTGGGTGGAAAAGTTAGTTGAGCCATAGGAAACTGTGGATTGGTACTATTCGTGAGTGGTACGAATATAAAAGTTGTTTATACTTTAAATGATTGCATTGTATAAACTAGTAACTTACCTGTGCGATGCACGGTCATTAAATATGGCCTATTAGTAATTCAAGATTATCGTCGTATAATAGTAATAAAAAAAATGAAAGCAAATTATAAATTATAAATTATTCAATAACAAATAGATAAATACATTACAAATTGTTAAAGATTTCTTTACATTACAAATAGATAACTCTTCATTCTCCCGATTTACTTATTTTTTTAATTGTTTTTAATTTCATTAAACATTAGTCTTGATTATTGAGATATAAAAATTAAAAAGCTTGCGTGAGTTCCCACTTTCCCAGTTCCCATGTCCCATCACCATAAACTTTTGCTATTCCCAAAAAGTCTTAAAATACTAAAAATTAAAAAGCCTTCCCCACCATCACATCTTGAAGTCTGATCTCTCTCAACCTCACCGTCTCTCTAATTCTCTCAACCTCACCGTCTCTCTAATTTTCTCAACCACGCATCATATCACTAATTCTCTCAACCTCAGATCTGTTACCATCTCTCTCAACCTCACATATGTTCCCATCATCTCTCAATCTTGAATATTGCCGGTAGCGGAGGCGGAGGTGGAGGTGGAGGGAGGCGACAGGCGTGAAGACACTTCGGCTGACTGCAGATTGGCGTGGGGGGAGTCCCTCGGCACCTAGCCAGAAGCCTAGAATCTGAACCACGATTCTTCACAAAAACAGAAAAAAAAAAGTTTGAGACAGTTCGGCCGGCTAGGCGGTCTAGGCGCCGCTAGCCGACCGCTTAGCCGCTCGGACGCGGAGGAGGCCGATTCCGGCCTTCCTCGCGGCGGTCGGGCGGCGCCTAGCGCCTAGGCGCCGATTAATTGGCGCCTTGGCGCGATTTTTGCAACATTGCACACATCTACAATTCCTAAAGTGTATGTATCTGCAAGTTAGAGGACATGCATGTCATATCTAAGTACAGATCTGGGTGTTTGGAGTGATATGTTCTCCTTAGAACGCATACGGAGTGAAGTGTGGAAGATCTACAAAAAGGTAAGTGTTGTTTTAGGTTTTTTTTTTTTATTTGGTTTTTATAAGTTATCTGCAAGTTAAGTGTTGGTCTTGGTCTTGAAAGTTAATCGTTCTGTTGTTGATGAAATAATTTCTTAATCCTTTTACACGTATTAACCGTTATGATTTTCCAGGAAATAGAGAGAAGTGATGAAGGTTAAGGTCATTTAGCACGGTGGTCAAAAAAGCAGGTATTGTTGAATAAAAACTCTAACAAATAATGTGTTAATACTGTTGGAAACCGTTGGTAGAAAAAAAAAAACAAATAATAATCAAAAATTAAGATTATTATTTTCTGAAAAAATAAGGAAGGAAAGATGGAGATATTTGGCTCGTGTTTGGTGTTGGGTTTTTGCAAGAGTCAAGCGATCACTCTTTCCTTAAAATCTTATTTGTCACCTCCCAAAGATGCTAGGAGCGTTGTGGCCTAGGCTTCCCATGATAAAACTTGGGAGTGATAAAGCCAGCAGGCCACTACCTGGGAATTGAATTTAGAATTGGAGAATTGAATTTAGAATTGGAGTTAATAGGGGATATTAATTCCGTACCTCTCGTGCTCTCCGTTTCGGCCGAACCAAGTGACTATACCGGCACGCAGGTGCCGGCGCACACGAGCTCGGGCTTGAATCAAGCCTTTTTCAATCTCGTCTAGTTGGAAATTGATTTGCACCCCCCCCCCCCCCCTCCCGCGAGAGAGAGCTTCTATGCTATACAATTCTACAAGCTTCAAAAGAGCTCTTGTATATAAGGAGGGAAAATCCTCATTCCAAACCAATGTGGGACAAAGCTCACTTTTCCCTTCCATTTTCCAACTCAAATGGGTCTACTTTGAGAATCAATATCTCATTCACCCATTATCCGTTTTGAGCGTACAATATATCAATCTCTTCGTCTCACTACGAAGAACCCGAATCCACTTTGACCCGACCCAAATCGAAAGTGGACCCCACTGATAATTGTACCACAAAATAGCCACTTAACAGGCCATTTTATGCCATTTTAAGCTATTTTTCCAACAAATACCTAGTAATGGTCTGGTTTGTTTACGTTTACCCCCGATAATTGTTGATGCCAAAATTTTCCTCATTTTGCTGTTAGGATAGTTGTAGATCCATATATCTGTTCTAGATGGTGATTAGTTTTTAATAGTCCCTGTTGTATATATAACCTTGATTATAGCATTAATTACTTAGATATGCACTGTCTTTTCAGTTTCATACACGTGAACTCTCTGTTCAACTTATTTTAGGGTAAACAAAATTTGTCCCTGAGTTTAATTTCTCGTATCTATATATTTTCACTGCAGTTTTTTCATAGATTTTGACTAAAAACCATTTTAAAGGTTCATGCAGATGATGATAGTTGAATTCTGATGCGCTTTGATTTTTAAATAGTGAGTAAGACATGTTGTAATTGTGTATTAAATGCATTTACAATACAGATTCCTCGAAAAGAGTACCTAGGCAAATTTAAAACCAACAAAACACGTCCATTATTTTAATACCAAACCAAAATGAATAAAAGTACCAAGTGCATGGAGAAATAAAGCGTAAACAAAATGTGCCAAAACAAAGAAAAAAATATAAAAACTATGGAGGCAATATGATTATATTTTTTCCTTTCGCATTGGGCAGGTACGACTATTATGCCCATACTCATCGCAAGTGTGACATTGACGTTGAGGACCATACACCTGCACTCTACAACAGTATTAGCAAAGTCATAAATCACCATGAAGACCAACTCAATAGCTTCTTCAACATCAAAATGAGTTACCATCCCAACGACGTTTGAATTCAATATACGACACAAAAAAGATCTTGCAACAATCTCGGCTTGAACATCTTAAAAACATTTATAGTATAAACTCCACCCGCATGCTTCTCAATCAGCAATGGTGTATTGCACAAAGGTAAATGAGCCTCACAATCCACATTTAGTTTGGCATACGACTGACGTTGGGCATCAATAGCTCCTTCAAAATTGTTGAACAACTCGGTCAGACTAGCATGTTGGTTTGTGCAACTACCAAACACACTATTTGCAGCTTCCGACCTAGATGTCGTACGAAGCAAACCGCCCATGAAAACATCTTAAAAGAATGTGGGGAT